TCTTCTTATTTCATATTTGGCCTTCTTGAAGAACAACAAAACAAATCAAGTTCGATTCAATCTTCCCTCAGGAGCAACAAAGTGAATCAAAATTTTTCGAGTCTAATCTCCCCTAAAGAGTAGTGTAGCAGATGCTTTTTCTTTTAGATTTGGTATTCATGAAGAACAAAAAAAAAGCAAGTTCGATTCAATCTTCCCTGAAGAGCATCGAAGTGAATAAATAATTATCTCCCAGAGAATTGATTCCCCTTGTACCTACGTCCAGTCATCGTCTGCACTAGCAACCACTCCTCCTACCTGTCACGTTCCCCTGCCATGACAGTGGCAGAGGGGCAGAGTCTACTTTATGCAAAACTCCAAATCCCTCGCATGCAGTAAAAAATGAAAAAAAGGAAAATATGAAGAAAAAGGGAGAGCAATATACGAGAACATTTTAAGAGAAAAGAGAGGGCATCTCTTTTCTCTGGGGGGAACACACAACCAAAAGAAAAAGGAGATATTTTTCTCTTCAGCAACCCAAAAAAACTAAAAAATAGAGAGGTCATTTTTTATATGAGTGAGCATCCAAATACCGAAAAGTGGAAAAAAGAGCGTTGAAAGGTAAACACCTTACCTTTCCCGTAGGGAGAAGCTCACTGTCGTCGCCCGGAGCCAAATCACTTTTGAGTCGTTAGAGGTAACCCATTTTTTGAGTCTCTTGGTTATTTTTGGGATTCAAGTTTGAAGAAATCCGAAAAGTGGAAAAAAGAGCGTTGAAAGGTAAACACCTTACCTTTCCCGTAGGGAGAAGCTCACTGTCGTCGCCCGGAGCCAAATCACTTTTGAGTCGTTAGAGGTAACCCATTTTTTGAGTCTCTTGGTTATTTTTGGGATTCAAGTTTTGAAGGGAAGAGTGTTAGGTTTTTTTAACCCCTCATCGATAGCCACGATGACCGCCTTGGAAGAACGAAAAGAGAGAGGATGAAAGAAAAAGAAAGAGAAAAGAGAGAAAGGGGGTATATAATGAGGGAATGGCATAAAGTTAGAAAAGAAAAGGGGTATAAAATGAATTAGGGTATATAATGAGGGAATGGCATAAAGTTAGAAAAGAAAAGGGGTATAAAATGAATTAGGGTTTGGATTTTTTTACCTAAAATACCCTATTTATTCAATCGCCAAAAAGATATTGTTTTGATCCAGCGCCTAGAGATGGGTTATTCATGTAAGGGCTTCACCTAATTTTCTTTTAATTCAATTTCAGTCCTCAAATCGAGTTTCTTTATATTTCTATTTTTATCTTTTAGATTTACGCGTGTTGCATTTTAGTCATGTGCTAAGTTATTCCCCAATCTTTGTTGTTTTTCCATGTAATTTCTTTGATTTCCATTTTAGTCCATACTTTATGTTTGTTATTATTTTGTATTGATTATTTTTTTTCCTGTTATTTCAAGAGCTTTCATTTTAGTCTCCGTATGCTTATGGGTTTATTTTAATTGTCGTACCTAGAATATATGACTTGTTCTTCTTTATGACTAATGTTTGTTTAACCTACCGATTAAGTCCTTAAGCTTGTTTTTTAAAAAAAAAAAAAATTGGTCACATGCTCATTAAACCCATTTAATTTTTGTTATTTCCTTTTTTTTACCAAAAATGTTATGATGTGCGCATATATATTTTGTTTAGTCTAAATAAAAATATTACTTATCACCTAGGTTTTAAAAAGCGCGCCTAGGCGCAGTGCAAATAGAAAAACGCCTATGAAGTTCCAGGCGAAGCGTCATACAAAAGGCTCATCAAGACGGTCGCTTTTGAAGCCTTTTGAGAGAGGCGCTAAGCGCACCGCTTTGCCGCCTGATGAGTTTCACCTTTTTCTGTTCTTTTGTCATACCCTCACCTTTTTATATTCTTTAGTCATGCCCTCACCTTTTTATATTCTTTAGTCATAATAGGTTTATAACACAACTAATCACTTTAATATGGATGTTAGTGGAAAATTAATGGAACACATGACATCATTTTGTATGATATGCATGATACCCTCATAAACATCACTTGATTCGATCAAATATATGAATTAAGGGTAATACTATTTCATTTTAAAGTCGCTGTGAAGTGATTGTCTTAATGTATAAGAAAGTCGTTTTTGATAATTTTAAAATGAAAGTGTATCCCATTAAGTGAAACACTAAAAATCTGATCACGTCTAAAATTTGTAAACAAGAGAAAAAGAAATATTCGTCTATTTAAATTCTTTGAGAAAAGATCGTTAGAACTTATAAAAGGTCTGATCTCGACATCTTTAAATAATTAAATATCCTTCTTCTTTCTAAAAGGATTGGTAATTTTTAATTTAAGTTTTTTTTATTATAATTATTCATGAAATTTAAATTAATAATGAATTTTAGAATTGAATTGTAATATTTCTTTATTTCGATTTGAGTGAGAATTGGTTGTTTTAAGGCATGAGAGGTCTTTTCTTCTCGAGACAAAATGATTAAATATTGTCATTTTTTGTCCTAAAATTCAAAGAATATTATCTAAAGGGCTTTTAAATTAAATTAAATTCAAACTCATAAATTTCATTGCAAATACAATTAATTAATCGACTAGGTACCGATTTAGGGCGCTTTAGGGGTTCTAATCCTTCCTCACGTGTAATCGACTCCCGAACTCAATTTTTTGGTACGTAGACCTAAGACGTTGTTTTAATAAAATTAAAATTATTTTTATTAAAATGACAATCGTTTTGGGTATCCAATCTCACCATAATCCAAGATTGATGGCAAATCCTTGAACCACTTTTTATTCTGATTTTTAAAAGAAAACACAAAATTAATCGAGATGAGAGTTTTTTTTAAATCACACTTAATCACTTATTTAAAAAAAATTAAATTTGTTTTTTTTAAGAAAAAAATCGTTTCGCCACCATGTTAAAAGAAGAAAACAAGTCGACAAATAACAACCAAATGATTAAAAGATTCAATTTCCCACACCACGAACACACGCACTGCAACTCATCTAAGTACATCCCTCGAGACCTCAAAAATTATTTTGTGGGTATATATCCCATATAATTTATCCACCCCACCCATAAATTAGGCTCATTGCTTATTATTTTTTAAATCTTCAATCTCACTTCATAGGCATTTTTGTTTTGTTATCTCATAAGGCATGAAAACATTCATATGTATAAATTTTGAACCATCCTAACCATTTATCTTTCATCATCAATATACAATTAGGTGGGGTCATCCCCTCACTCATCATTATTTCGTTCATTCTCTAATCTAGAATGTTATGCAAGGGTTTATTAATCTTTTTACATCTATTAGTTCATTAGACCACACTATCGTAGTCATTTAATACACAATGCATTTTGGTTATTTCTGTCTCTAAATAGGTCTTCAATGTTTAAGCTCTTAGAACAATTACTATTACCGCTACCCACTTGGTTTATTATTTACTAGCTCAATATTCAACTTAAAGTTAGTTAATCATAGTGACTCTCTATTCACTCACATCACACATTCGTATGATATATCATCTCACTTGTATACATATTCTTTGTAACAAGCTTTCATTCGTGATTGCTCGATACATGCTTAATTGAGGGGTGTTCGAAAGAATCCTACCCATTAAGGTAATTTTTATCATAACCCACTCCTAAAAGTATTTTTAGTCCACTGCAATCATTTAAGCCTCCCTCATGCTGAAATCCACTATTATGGGTCATCATTCGCTACATGTAATACAGATACTTCCTAGTCAAGTATCGATACCCCTTGAGTATCAGTATCAAAAATAACTTCAAAGTTGTCAAGAATCACTCTAGTATCAGTACTGTAATTCTAGTATTAATATTGTAATTCCTATACCGGTACTATAATTTCATTACTGGTACTGTAATTCTAGTATCAATACTTTAAGTCCAATACCAATATTATAATTCTATTATCGGTACTATTATCTAGGGTTATCTATCACTATAAAAACATCATCTTTACACTAAAAACGTCATTTAATCATGAATAAAACAAAACCTCTAATATGCTCAAATACCTAAATCCCCACAAAGCATCACATTTAATGGAGTCATGACACCACAAAGAATTAGAAATACACTATCTTTGTTAGAGAATCTCGAAATGAAGCTCCTTGGTTAGCCACAATCACTATCTCCTTCTCCTCTTGAACTAGGATACTCACCACCGATTTCCTCTAGTCGGAACAAGAAAATAAGATTGTTGAATCATAAAATAAGGTTGCTGGAAGGCTTAAAGAAAAAATTTGGAGTTTAAAAGGAGCTTAAAATGTGCCCAAGGACTTGAATTTGAGCAATGAAGCTTGATAGAAGAATAAAGAAGAAGAAAATGGAGAAGAAGAAGTTGAAGAGAAGAGACAAAAGCGTTTCAGCTTTTTACCCTCAAAAGTCACGTCCAACTCTCTATAAAACCCTAAGATATCAACTTCTTTTTTCTCAATAATAAAATTGCACTTTTGATTCTTCCTTTTTTATGTCATATGTGAAAGTTTCTTTTTTATGGTCAATTGGGCCTAAATTACACCCAATTTACTCCACAATCTGCCCAAATTACATCCAATTTAGTCCACACTCGACTCAACAACTTCAATCGGTATCTCCACAAGGCTCACGTATCTCTTGGGCCAATCCTCACATATTGACCTTGAAAATTAGGGCGTTACAAAGGAAGTCACCTCCAGCCGTGGTATTAAAATATTTTTGGATATCAGATTTTAGACTAGTTCAATTTTGATTATTCCATGAGAGTTAACCATGTATTATTTTGATTATTCAAAATATTAACAGAAAATATATGATGTTCTATCAGCAATTTTTTGTTGTTGCTTAAATCAATAGCTTGCAAGTATCTTCATTCCATGGTTTAATAATTACGTTTAGACAGTATAAATATTTAAAGCATACATAGCCTTGTAAAGTAGAAACACGTACATCAAAGATACATACATGTCTATCTTAATTTAATTGATAATACCCCTGCCGGTGATAACAACTATAACGTCTTGCAGCAACGCAGAGAGGTCGAAAGGATCAAAGCCACCCCGTAGCACGCTTATTACCACCTCTGTTCACCTCACGCTCTTCGATCACCGTTTCCTGGGGAATAAACTGATGGTACCTGTTGCAAGTGAGGTCGGGAAGAACACAAAATTTTATGTTAGTAGACGAATTTATATTATTTTGAAGGTTAAAATAGATTATCTACAGAAAATACAAAAAATATATATCTAAAATATATGAGAATTTGAAATTTTCATGGGTCGTTCCGACAACTCCTCTATTCATCCCGAGTCCAACTATTCATCACAATGTAATTTGCTTAAAAATAAGGAAAACTCCCATCATTTTTAACCTCTATGACTTCATCTTTAGCTGGATTGAAGAGGGAAAGCTTACCCCATTGAAGGTTGTTGCCGGGCATGGTTTGCCTGTGAAGTAATCATTTCATATTCATTTCCCACTTCTATGTTAGGGTTTCCTAACACTTGTGCTGGTTGAAAAACATTCTCTAATTCTAGCTGAAAATACCATAAATGTGCAAGGTAATAGTCAAATTCATTATTCTAGCTGAAAATACCATAAATATGCAAGGTAACGAAACCTGAGATTTTAGCTTATTGTTTTCATCTGCAAGTTCACTTTCCTGAATTAATGCAAAGCAACAAAAACATATCACAAAATACAGTGTTAAGCTAATTCTGAAAATGTTTTCAATTACCATCTCTCTCTCTCTCTCTCTCTCATTTTTGCAGTAATTCATGAGAAGAAAGTTGTTTAGCTAATTGGTTTCTTTTACCTTTTTGTTTAACTCTTCCATTCGATCCAACAACAACTGCATCTGCAGTCATAATCAAGAAATTGAAGTTTCAACGTTATGATAACCGTAAATAATAAATGCATAAGTAGCTACCGGCGTTACCATGATAATTAGGTAAGTTAACAATTCTGTCAAGAAAATAAAATCTTGATTATCTCACGATGTATTTGAGAAATATTACAAATGATTTTTTTTGTGTATGGAATAAAACATCATATTACCAATTTAACACTGAGTTTTCAATGATTTTGAAGAGGTACCCATCTGAGCATAAATATATAAATATAGGTTTAAACATGTTAAAGGTTTCTAAACTATTTTAAAATTTAGTTTTTACATTTTAATTTTATGATGTTTTTATTCTATTTTTTATTTAAAATTTTTTTATTTATTATTTTTTAAATTTTAGGGTAAATTACACAAATGGTCCCTTGACTATAGGATAATGTTTTATAGATTTCTTTGACTATTAAAAGCTAGAAAATGATCCCTAGACTATTGAGAGTTGGTTTGTTGAGTTCCACAACTATTAAAAGTTACAATATGGTCATTCGACTTGTAACACCCTGAATATTGGTATAGTATTTTTGTTTTGACCCAATAATTTATTTAATAAATGTAGTATAGCATGAAAGTCTATCGATTTGATTTATGTTCAATCGGGTAAGAATTAGCCTTATTGGGGTTAAAAAGAGGATTTTGATCTTGAAGTAAAGTGATGAGGACCTAACATGCAATTAGACCCTTGAGCAATAAAAAGACTTAATATAATTTATTTTTTATGAGGTCATCATGGGTTAAAGTTGAAAACTTTTTTCTTCTCTTTCTCTTTACTTTGTCTTCTACTTCATCTTCTTCTTCATTTCTTCTTCTCCAGTAAGCAAGAGATAAAGTTAAAGCCTTTGTCTTTCTTCACATCATTCCTCATCCAAAAATCTAAACGTAAGATTCATAACCAAGAGTACTTGATCTTCATGAAAAGTACATCATCTTTATAAATTGTGGTCCAAGAGCTTTCATGAAGTTTTGGGAAAGTTGAGCTCCAAGGGCTTCCTCCCTCGATTCCATTTGTTTTTCATGTGGTATAGTTGTTGTTTAACAACTACTATTCTTCTTTTTCATATTGGAATCGTTGGTTGGCTTTTGGGTGATGAATAAATGGTGTAAAGGCCCCCCATTAAGCTAGTTCAAGGAAAGGTTGAGCCTTGGGTAAGGTATATACTTTTTTCGATTGCTAGGAGCTAAGCTAAAACACTATAACTCTTCTTTAGCACTTTTAGTACATATCATCTAGCATGAGTTGCTTGCATGAAGTAGAAAAGTATATGGTGGCTTGGGTGCTTGATTTATTTTTATAGACGTTTTGGATGTTACTTTAGTGTAAAAATGATGTATGATGACCCCTGATGACTTTCATAAGTTTTAATAACCAAGTTAGAACTTATGACAAGTTTATGGGGTAAGTTTGGGGTGTTTCCTAAGAAAAACAATATATTTATGGGTTACAATATCAATACTGCATGAATAGTATTGATATTGTTCATATTATGGGTGAAAACTAGTTTTTTAGGTAACAATATCAATACTAGGTGAATTGGTATTGATACAAAAGGTTGTGGTATCGATACTAGAGGCTTGGTATTGGTACCAGAGTGTTGTTATCCATAACAAATGATTTGGTATCCATATAAGATGAACTGGTATCCATATCTAATGAGTTGGTATCCATTCTAGATGAACTACTATCCAAACCAAAGATTGGGTATCTATACCGAATGATTGGTATCAATACCCAAAATGGTTGAGTAACTTCAAGATAGACTCGAAAGTGAGGATGTTAATTACTTTTGAGCTCAAACATGTAGCTCGAGAATGTGATATATTACTAAAATACCCTTAAGGGGCTAAAATCACCAAATTTCCCTTGTGGCCTAAGTGAATAGAATAACATATACGAGTAATATTGGAATTTTTGGATAAGTAGTATTGATACCTTACTCATGGAGTAACAGTATTGTCCCTTAGGTATCAATAGTGGGGGGTATTGATACCATCGATAAGGTTCAAATTCTAGTGACCAATATTGGTATTGATACTTAGGCGGCATCAATACCAAAAGAGAGTAGTATCGATACCCTAGATAAGGGTATCGATACTAGGTTATTTTCCATGCATTAAATGTGAAAATGATACCGGTACCAATGGTTGATATCGATACTCAAGGGCTTAGTATTGGTAACCTCGTACTAAAATAGATAAAAAGTCTCATTTTAGTTTAAGGACTCGAGAATGGGTCTAAGACTACCAAAACCTCTCAATAAAGTTTACAAGTGGAAATATTGAATAGATTGTGTGATAATTATAAAAACCTTATGAAGTAAGATCTCATAAGACTTATACTTTTATTTGACACTTGAGAAACAACAAGGACACCTAAGTTACTCGTATAAGTCGATGACGTAAAAGTTATTCCTTCAATTCAAGGGTGAGTTGAGGGAAAGTACGACGAGAGCTACAAGAGAGTCGTTGTGATTAAACAACCCCGATTCTAATATCGGGCTAATAATAATATACCAAGTGGGTGGCAATTAGTATTAATTGTCTTAAGGGAATAAAAAACTAAAAGACTAACAAACCCTTGCATAACATTCTAGAGGAGAGTATGAGAGAGATAGTAACGAGTTGATGACCTCACCCGATTTTGATGAACTATATTAGTGTGTAGTCGAGCTATCTTAACTCCCCTAGCATGGCATTGATTAATGTGTTTATTCTATAGGCACCCTTGTATGTTTTTCTGTATATGAATATCTTGTTTGCTAGAAATATACAAATATATCCAAGTCAGTTCTAAGAAACTTAAATTTTAGTTACGCGTAGGTTGCAATGCTATGTGACCCCGTATGAATCCTAATTACTTCAGAGGAGTAGACAAGTTGGACGTAGGCTTTGATGCTATGTGACCCTAGAGGCTTCCTAGGTATTGGACAATGAGGGCCTTTCTAGGTGAAGGTTTCAATGTTAAATGATTCAGGTCTTATCTAGGGTACTTTAGGTAGGCCAGAGGGGTGTGAGTCTCGAAGGCTATGTGACCTCACACTAAACCATAATGCCTACTACTATTTGTGTGTTTGATATTTTGTGTTGCATATAATGGTTCATAGTTGTATGATATTAGGGTTAGAGATGCAATATATGTATACTCATGGCGATGGCCTTAGCAATAGATTAAAAGAAGCATGAGACTCAAACCCCTTTGATAGTGGATGTAGCTTGAATAGATGGTTTAGTAAAATTGATGGCATAGTAGTATTGTTTCTCTTACTTTACTTGTTAGCATGTTTATTTTATCAATGCATGTATTATAGTAGAGGTATAATGTGATGTGGAGCTTGCGAGCTCACCGCTAGAAATGTGTTACCATTCGCAGGTTTTAGGTTTTGTGAAGTGCGATGGGACAATGATATCATCGGATGAGTCTTAGTAGAGTACCAAAGTACAATGATGACGACTTAATAGGCATGTAGAAGTCATGATTTGTAATGAGTCAACTTGTAATATTTTAATTATTTATTTCATTTATCGAGTTTCTAAATTAGGGACCCACTTTTGTGAATGGTTATGCTTTTATACATTGTGTAAATTTTTTAAAAGTGAGTATGGTTTCAATGAAAAAATGGTTAGTCACTTTGGTGATTCCATGTGACACTCAAATCCGTGGGATTTGGGTATTTCATTTAGTGGTATTCGAGCTAGAGTTTAGCCAGTTTTAATTTAACATAGTCAAGTCCTATATTCCCTCGAAGGTCACAAAGTGTACTCATGGAATAATACTCTAATATTGTTCATCCATTTTTGATTGGTAAGTTAACGAGTTAGACTTGATTAATAATTGTTCAACAAAGACAAACCTATAAGAAAATTTTTTAGATGACCTATTTGTGGATGCAAACTCTAGTGTGTTTTTCATATCAAATGATAAATATATTACGAAAGGTTTGGGTAAGTAACCTTGTGGATAAAGCTAAGAAAGTGTTTTCTGAATCTATGAATAAAAAGTACTATGATAGAAGTGTAGAAAATATTATCGTAAGACTATAAAAAGACATTTTAATGCTATAACTATAAATATTTGTGGATGTGTGATCTTATCAGGGTTATGAGTGATTCATTAGAATAAGTATCGATTATACTATCATCCTTTAGTCAATATGGTAGTTAATGAGGTTGAATTTTCTCCCTTGAACACATCTTGAGTATCAGAGTACGCAGTGAAAGCGGAAATACCCTATCAATATTACTACTAGAAATCAAAACTTTTTAAGAGTTCGTTAATGTGAATCATAGTCAGCTGACCTAGTTATACTGTGGGGGCAAGTTCCATGTTATTCCTCTAAATCAATGACCCATGAGGATCATATTTCATAAAACCTGTATGTCTTTAAGAGTGATCTTCAGCTCGATTATTATAGATTGTAGGTTCTCAATTGCATCTTAGAGGATGATGTTTATGATAGATATCTCTATAAACTTTGTGAATTCGATTCCTTGATATAATCTTGACATTGTGATGGTTAATCTCAGCAATGGCGTTCGTATGCATTCGATCTAAATCTAGAACCATTGAATAAATTGTTTCGTTAATTCAATAAGTGGAAGTCTTCTTAGTATTAAAGATTTTATACTTGTGATCTTTAGAAGATGTTCGTATGCAATCCAATACATCTTTTCCTTGTCTTGATTAGTGAATGTCTCTTCACCCTTGCTAAGTGAGTACTTTGATGTTCCTAACAATATTCCTCAGTTGAATGTCCTATCTAGGTAAGTGATCGTGTAAATGCTAAACAAATCATACCAAGCTCTAATAAGAGTCGTTATTATGATGATCTTTATGTTGTTAATAAGAGATTTATTATTCCGAAATTGTGTTAGCAAAAACTTTAAAAAATTCAGAGTTGTAAAATTGAATTCTACAAATTATGCTCCATAGATTTTCTCACAACTCTTTGAATTCACTCAAA